TCTGTTACTTTGTTATCCTTGTTTTGATGTTGTAAATTTGTAAATAAAGTTATAAAGTTATTATCATCATTGCTATTATAAGATATTGTTTTGTTTCTACTGAAGTATTTTAATTACAATTCTTCAAAGTACTAATTTTATCAGAATGAGTGCTCACCAAGAAAATGCTCAGTGTTTTCATATTTTCCATGATGCAGAAAAAAAAAAAACTGAAACATATTCAAACCACTGCTGATCATCCAATTAGGAGCTGACTGATTGCTTGTCATGTGCTGACCTTTCAAAGTGCAATTTAAATCCATGGATGTCTCAGCTCCAAGAGGAGCAACTGTCATTCTTGGCCGTGGCTCTTCCTGTACAGCGAATGTGAGCCGAGCCCTCCTCCATATCCCCCGTATTAAAAACTCACAATATGCCCAACAACTGCACAGCGGAGGAGACAGAATGCACGGTATGTGCTTACAGCATCACAACCCCTCTCTCCTCTCACATGGACTAATATGGCCAAGCCCAGAAGGGATAGGACAATAAACACATGCAGCACATCGCTACTGTAAGTAGCAGTGTGTGTTTTAAAAATTTTTTTGACTGAGTAAAATAAATCTCAATGAGCGGATCAATTTATTTCGTGTGTTTTGTTTGTGAAATTTATATGACAATGACCAATATAACAGTGTTGTGTGCACCTATATTTTCATTGCTTGTCTGTGATTAACCTTAAATGATATGACATTTAGTGTAACACAAGAAATACAAACAAATCTTATGCTCTATATTTAGTCTATCTTCAAGCAGGTGCTTGGCACTCCCACCAGAGGGCAATGGTCAGCTGCAGTGGAACCTCACTTTGTGTTTACATACTGTAGCTTTGTAGTGCTGAACCATCAAAGTAAAACTGTTAATGCATTCCAGTTTTATATTGTGTATAATTTACCTTCTATAGCCAGTGAGTGGAAACAGCAATGTGATGTTTTTTTATGCAATCAATTGACACTTTAATTTAGTGCTATTAAGATTTTCTGTCTGAATGTGTTTTTGATGACACATACATGCATTTTAAAACACTGATTGTTTTTATTCTTAATTATAATCTTCACATATGTATTTATATAAGAACAATTATTTTAAAGACATTGCTTACTACATATTTTATTTGACTTTCTACATTCTGTTTCAAACCTCTAGTAGGAATTATAATTTATTTGATGTCAGCTTTACAAAGCCTGTCCTTGAAAAAATACAATCAATAATTTCTTCTTTGGCTTTATTATTTCGTCTCAAGTTTGGCTGTGTTACAAGCTTGGCTTGTTGACTCTGTACAGCATTTATCTGATCTGACACAGTTTCATTAGTAATCATTTCCATATAGCACACAACATTAGAGTACTCCTGTTTGTAAAACAGCAGATGAGGCTAATGCTGTTCTCTGGGGAGAAATTCAATATAATTCGTTAATTAAATGGAATAATTTAATTACAGTAACTTAGAAAGCATTCATCAATATAATTGTTTCTGGAGCCACCATTATAATTGAGGTTTAAGTGAAAACAAGTCCGTTTCTAATGTTGGTAATGTGCTGACATAGTTCTCCCACCCTCCATTTGTTCCTCTCTCTGATCTTCCACCATGCAGTTTCTCCACAGTGTTTTCGTTTGATAGCTAGCCATACCACATCAGCAAGACCAAAACATTTATTACAGCCATTTAATTTAACCTCTCTACAGGCACGGACAAGAAGACAGAGATGATAGCACAGCCGCACTGAAAGACTCTCGCTGTTCAGCTTCTAATCTGATCCTCTCTGTTGCCCTTTCATAAAGACACCAGAGTATTACCCTGACTCCAAACATACCTCTGCCATTTAAACTGTCTTGGATTTCACCACAAAGACGACCAAATAGAGTCCAATTCATTCTTCAGGGCCCAAATAATAAAACATAATTTTAGTCTAATCTGCCTAAAGAATGTCCTCCGTTTGAAGTTGACAGTGCTCTATCTTCTGGGAGGAATAATTGCCTTTTGAGTACAGCAGGAGAGGCCACTGAGGTAAGCCTGTCGAGGGTCTGCACCTTACAGGTGTGCCCTTGGACAGACAACCTCCTCGTTGTTCTAGAGAGACAGAGAGAGAGAGAGAGAGAGAGCGAGCGAGAGACGGGGGAAAGCCAGACTGAAAGAATTCATCTGCCAGATAGAACTTTACAAGGCACCGGCATAGCAGTAGCATTCTCAAATCACTGTGTGGCCAAAGTGAAGTGAACAAAGAAACACTGATCTCCAATAATTCCTCCTGTCCGATACAGCAGACAAATTCATGTCACTAAAGTTTTATCATTTTGTTAGACAGGTTTGTGAAATTGACCTGGTTGTAATCTGTTTGATTTGGACAACTGCATTTGTGACGAAGTTACTGACAGTTATTGTCTAGTAATGTAAACGACACTCCTCATACAGTGGAGGCTTTGTGTGCTTACTGAAGCAGATTTCAGTACATCAGCCTAGTTTGCCTACATGGGAACTGAAATCCTGTGCATCGATTTATTTTGAAGTTAAACATTCATTTCCAAATAATTTCAGTTAGAGTGTAGCTATTTATCAGCTATATGAGATTGTTATTTTGTAGCATTCTTCCTAAGACAAACTGAATCTCTGCTTCATTTGTCAAACTTCTCCCTGCTTTTCAATGGGGCCCATTAATTGAGCAGAGAAATCTGTCCCTTTCTGAACATGGCATTGAAAGCTGCTGAACAGCTGTCCCAGCTCTGGAGAATCATATGGAAGAATGCATTATCGGCCTTGTTTGAATATTCCCTTAGATTTGGAATAATCAGGCAGCTATTCAGCAGTGAGATGGCCACGCACAGATGCCAAAGCACAGCTGAGGGGAGCACAACGGTGTAATGCCGCTCAGACACACACAAAACCCACAGCATGAAAAACGTGAATAATGCAGGTGCGCTTTATTTCTGTATAGTGTATGTGCTTATCATACATAATAGCTAAGACACTTTCTTTCGTTCTTTTATCTCCTTCTTTCCTTTCTTCTTGCGTTGTTCAAGGTGATCCTAGCTTTGCATATGGCTGATTAATCTTATTGCACAGCAGCTAACATTGATCACAGAAATGATTAGAAATGCATTAGTCAGCAGACTGTTTGGAGTGGTTGGGTTTAAGTGCTAGTGCCAAGCCATTTTCCATAGGTGTCCATGTTTTTAATTTTGTTATATAGAATTTTGCAAATGGATGCATGCATGCCGCCCAAATACAGCATCAAAGCTTTAATGCTTACAGACATAATTTAATCTCCTAGATGGCAGGCCTGATGGACTGTGTAGAGAAGGCATCCCTGCTAAATTCATTATGCTAAAAGTTGCTAGATCTCACTAGCTGATGAGAGAGAGAGAGACAGAGCAGCATATAACCTGTGTTTGTATTTTGTGCGGTACAAGAAATCCTGGCTCTGCACTGCAATGTTGATGAAAGCAGACTCTTCTCTACTGGAGTGTTTGCACTTTTTTACCAGAGAGCTGTCACCATGTTAAAAAGCGAATGGTACCAACTTCTACATACAGTAGCCGTAATGTGAAATTTCATAAATTGAATTTTAATTCTGATTTCCAATGTTTGGTCAAGGTGTCTTTGTTGCACATATAAACTAAGCATAGTAATCCAGTCACATACAGTAGTACAACACAGTGCTACTCAAATGCTAATGTGTTTAAAAAGTGACACTGCCACCTAGTGAATCAACTAAGACGATCTGATGTTCACTTGAAAGTTACATTCAGAAGTACAAGCAAACAGGGTTTCTATTTGCTTTAGAAACAGCGCCATTCCTTAATCCATACAAAACAAAAGTTAAATGCAGAAAGCCCTGGTTTCATCCCAACACACTTTTTTAAAGCCTTTCTTCATTTTCCCCTGACCTCACTGACTGCAGCCCCTCCTCACTCGTAGCTCAGATACCTCCTTTAATCATTAAACAAAGTCTCTCTTTATTCACAACATTTCTTTCTTCTTCTGATTTCAGATATAATGGAAGTTCAAGTTCACTCTAAATGGCTTTTTAGCTTTTTTATTTACTTCACTCTGGTATACAAGAACACCCATACCAAAGCTACACTAAGTTGGGTTCATCATCAGTGATGTACTTTACAGAGATCATAAGCCTAGTGGAATGTGAGCTGAAAAAACAATCAAACAAACAAACTGGGGGCCAGTTTACAGCGAAAAGAACTGACAAAGATAATATGGCATGTTAAGAGTGACACAATTAGAATTTTAAAAATAAATCATCAATCACACAGCTTAAATAAATATGTTTGTAAAATTTTCGAAACAATCAAATGCACTTGATTAGTTAGCAAAGGGACACCTTTACAATTAAAAAGCATGGCATCCCTTCAACAGCCGAGGTGCAACTCATAAGGGTCCCACCAAAACAACTCTTGCCACATGTTCAACACTCCCCATTAAAAACCTGGGGAAATTAATGAGCTTCCATTGGCACCCTCACAACAAAGGGATCTATAAAGCAGCCTTAATGTTCTCTGGGAAACTTTACTCTTCAGTAGTTCCCAATCAACCGGTAGCAGCAGATTTTGTTTTATTTCCCTTGTAACCTACAACGGGAGCTAAAAATGCTACTCACTGCAACTTTACATAAATGTTATCCTTGATTGAAATTGCTTTAAGCTCATTCTTAATCAAAGATTTGTCAATATTTAACCACATTGGGTTGTCAAAATCTAATTATTTATAAATATACTGTATATCCTTAAATAACAGCTTAGCAGAGTGCTCTAAAAAAATCTATAAACATGTAAAATATTGCCAAACAACATTTATTTCTTATTTATTCAGAGATCTACTAAAAGAGTTATTAAAAAAACCACAACTGGTGTACATGGAGAACAAACCCCAGTCATGTTGTGAGCATTGATTTGTACTTTCTACCTGCTTGTACAAAATTAAGAACACTTAGGAATCAAAGAGCGCAGAGGTTTGCAGAAAGGTATTAATTAGAACTTTATTTATGCAGATGCTTTGTAAATTTGCATAAAAAGCAATTCCACAGATGGGTTTATGGCAGTAATGACTGTTCCAGTCTGCAATAAAACATCTGCTTAATCACAACAGAGACAGTCAATGGCTGCTATGAAAACAGGCTGTCCAAGTGCATCTCAAAGAAAGTACTGAGGTGAAGAAACAGAGTGGACAGGTTAGGAAAAAATAGTAAAGAGATTTAGGAAAAAAACATGTTCAAAAGCAGCGTTAGTTAAAAGAGACACACATCTCCCAAACATTTGCTGGTGGTACTTTGAGTGCTCTGATGTTGAGAAAAATACCCTTATCGTGTTGGCAGAACAATCCACTTACTGTGTCTAAGAGAAGAGAGAGTTTTGTTCCAAGTCAAGCCAAGTCTTTGTCTATGTGTGCCAACTATTTTGAAAATATTCCACTTTGTGTCTTTTTAATCCACGAGAGCCACACAGATACGAGCTTGTGCACAAACACATACACACACACGCACAGACACAGCAGTGTGGCTGCAAGGTCACTCCAAGTATTGATAAATCACCCAGCTGTGATTCCCTCCTGACAGCTCAAACTAACATCAAGCTGGATGGGGGAGAACAAAAGACCATCAAGCGGCCCTTTTCCTGACACTTTTATTCAATCACGGCCAGATTGCTTACGACAGCACCAGCAGCTGTTTCGTCTTCATCTTTCCCCATTTGATAAAGCGTGTCAAGTCATATTTCTGTAAGTACTTCACCTCACCCCATACTGTGCAGATCCGCAGCGATTCGGCATATGCACATTCCACATGAGGGGATCGTCAAATGGGTCAGGGAGTAATGACACCCCTCTGAAGGTCGCAGCACACTGGCGTGGGGGTGGGAGCAGGTAGGTGGGTGGAGGGAGGGGGCGACGACAAAGCAACAAGCTGAAGGTCAAAGATAAGAACAGCCACAGAGATATCTAAGATAGCCAGCAGAAATTAAACAATGAGGGAAAGGCAGTAGGGCTTTGATTGTTTGATTGTGTTGTTTAAGAGGGGGGGGCGTTGTTGGTGCTTGGGATTGTTATTTTGGGATCACCATCCCATTCAGAGCTCTTCTGTTGACCTTGTTCCTCATGGGATGGAGATCTGTGATAGGACAGAGAAATATTGCAGATGTCTATTGTTTGTTTGTGATCAGACATCAGCCCACAAAGAAATGAGATTTCCATTTCGCAACTGCCTTTTAATGTTTACATTGAGATTGCCTGTACATGTCATGGTTTCCTGTGCAAGTATCTGATAACAATTACAGGTGTTTGAGTTTATTTTAGAGAGGATGAATGACATATTTGAAAATAACGATTGCATTCAAGCATGGGTACTCAACGCTGCCAAGCTCTGATTATTTTCATGCAATTATTTGAAGTCAAGTAAGTGTTGTAGCTACAGCAAGGTAATATCCTTGACACCTACTTTGTCTAGTGATAACCTGCACAAACATTCTGAAAAATGTATGAAAATATTAATACTTTTTTTGTTTTTAGCTAGAGCCATTTCTATCTTCTGCTTTCACGTATGCCAAACAGAAATAGCATTGCCTGACTGGACAATCTAGCGTGTATCAACCTTCTATCATACATCATTAGAACAAGAGTCAGACCACTAGTACCTGTACTGTAGCTCCTGAAAACTGTGTCACCGGGAAGATACAGTAACACACCTGTTCAAGTCACACGCCTTACTTTACCTAAAATATGTCTCAGGATCACCTCTTCAGCATCTTTGGTCTGAAAAAAAAATGAGATCTTCAAAGTCAGCTGCTATTTTGGCCAAAGCGAGTGGCCACTAGTTCTGTGGAAAAAGAGACATGTAAATCAGGTGGAATGTAGGAGACGCTTGTATCAAAAATGGGACAACTCACTCCACTCAGACTTGGCCTGGCTCCCAGGAATGCAGTTAGCTCACACACAATCACTGCCTATTCACGGTGGCACAGCTGCTGTGGACATATGTTCCCCACCAAAGGAGGAGGACATCAACCACGCACACCTTGAACAGGTTAGCAGATGAATGGCGTTCAGTCCTTTGACAGTCTGCCCTCGTCTCGTTGTATTTTCCCTTGCTCAACAAATAAGTTCCTCACCGTTGTGGCCTAAACTTTTCTCGTACGTTCATCCATGACAAACTCAAGGCATTTAACATGACAGTAACAATACTGTCTTAACTTAACTTCTGTAAATACATTTCTGAAATTAGTGACATTGCTCAATTCCTCATAGGTGTTTCAGAAGGACAATGAACCTCAAAGAAGAGTAATAAGGAATATTAATAGTGAATGCCTACACAAAGACTTTTTTTCCTAGCCCTCAGCAAATGACCATATTTGAGAGAAAAGATTACATTTATTCATAGCTGTCTTTCATCAAGAAGCTTAAAACCCAAACTTCGAATGTAACCCCAAATTATATGCATATTGAGCTGACCTCTTTCACCCTTTTTCTTAAAGCCATAGAGGAGGTGTGATATGCAAAAACCCACAGATCCTTCAGCTCATCATTTAGACGATTTCAGCACTTTTGGTTTTCCAGCCGTCCAAGGGTGATCACGTTAGTCACTAATAGATAAAGAGAAGCCTCCTCCATTAGCAAGGAGGTCATACGTGTAAAGTGAAAATTCCCAAATCTTGCTGTCATTGCAGTCAGAGAAAAAAACAATGTGACTTACATTTGAAATTCACTTGATGCAATGTCAAACACTTTGAATCGAGAGACAGAGAACACACTAGATAAATGCAATCCATTCTCACATTATCCATTGTTAACACTCATGCTTTTGTCACCCATCTCTGCAGCTATGACCTATTAGCTTTAGTGAAGTGCTCTGAGGCCACGGAGCCATGTGAAGGTTGTTCACCCATCCAACAGGGCCATTTACAGGAGAGAGACCCCAGAGCCGAGCCGCAGCAGCACTCTAATGACTCTATCAGCTACACTGATGGGAGCAAATGGCACCCAGAGATTTCAACACATTCCCTGAGCATGCATTACATTTGGTCTCCTTATTTGTGTTGTAATGGTAATGCATAAGTATGCATGTAAGGACATTGTAAAACATTTGAAATTACACCATAGCAATATACGTTTATGTTTAAATATTTTAAAGGAATATTCAGCAACCCCCTATTTATACACACAACAGGTTTACTGTAAAGTTAATATAGTATGATGCCGCTACCATCTTAAATTGCTAATACATCTTCAAATGATCTTTTAACCTAAATACTACCTCGGCATAATTATTGTGATTTCCAAGCGAAGCAGGGTTGATCTTGCACCTCAATCCAACAATTACAGGAAACTATATGTAAGATAAAAACAGAATATGTGCTTCCCTTTTGTGAGAGATGGCGCGAAGTCACAAGAGTATTCATTAAGGCCTTTGTGTCCTGTTTGAAATAGTGCTGTTAAAGGCTTTAGCTGTGGGCATCTCTGTGGAAGAGATATAATGATCCTCCAATTAGAGACAGAATCATGAGACCTGTTTATTAGTCCTAATTCATCTCCTCATTGTGCTGAGCATATCAAATACCACAGAGGAAAAAAAAAATCAACAATTTGCCCACCATAATTACAGATCTATTAATAGTTTCACAACAATGACAAGCAAAGCTATTCACATAATTTTCTACAGTCAAGAACAATATAGCAGCACTGTCAATGTCTCCATTAAAGCCTGCATTTATACCAGCTCAGTGACATCTTGCATTTCAAAGACGACTCTGGGCCTCTTCAGATAAATTACACTTTTTCATTACCGGAATGATTTTGGCATTATTAATTCTAAATGGATTTTTTCAGACGCTTCTCTACATTTGTAGCTTATCATACAATAGCAGGCTTTTGTGGCTGTAAAGGTATTTTCCATTAAGAACAAGAAGATGGAAAAAAAAAAGCTGCAATGCATTGTTGCAGTTCCTGTTTCAGGTAATAAAGGACACAACAAAATAAAATGACAAACGAAAACCCTGATACCTAAGTTAAAATTCACAAGTTAAAGTTCCACAAAGTGTAACTCCTTAGATAAACCTCATCATTTAGATTGTTATGGGTAGTACAAATTATTAGTTTATATAGGAAACTATTTAAGCATTACAGTAAAGTAATATTCTGAGTCTACAAAGGTAATGCAGGCTACTGCACCCCCTATAATGACTTCAAGTAAACACTGGGTCTAAAGCAAAACACAAGTGCCAACTTTTTGCCTGCACACAGTTGTAAATGGCAAAAGTACAAATTTGTACAAATCCCCCATTACTTTTCCATCCTATTACTTTTTGTCAACACCAAGCCGATCTTTCACTAATTTACAACATTTTTCTATAATTCCTGTTTAGCCAGCACTTCCTTACAAAAAGTAGAATGGTACAGTGAGTGTTAGATGCCATTTTCTTTCACCATGGTAGGCTATGTCATTGTACAAGTAATGTATTATGGTATTGGCCATAACACACTGTACTGAACCATAGCACTGGCCAGTTATTTACATGTAACTTATGTCAATAATATACTTGTACAGCCTCTACAAACAATGATGACAATACTAAATCAACCAAAAGTTGCTGTATGTTAAGTAGTAAATATGCTTTCTGACCTTTATTTTGAGCTCTGTAAGTAAAGTTACTCTTTGAACACCTGCGGTGTTTGACGTCCGGCTAACCACCAGACCATCCTGAGACGAGCCAGCAGTTAGCAGAGCTAAAGGCTTTGAGCAGCTCTAGCGACCTTCAAGCACAGAAACACTTAAGGGAAGTGCGCAAGAGGACGCTTGGTAAGAAATCTTCAGTAACGGTCCACGTTAGCTCAAAAAGCCAAGCCTGCGTTAGCTCAAAAACTATTCCCCTAAATAAATAGCAAAAAAGTTTGGCGACTAACGTTACAGCTAACACCCAAATACCTTGGGTAGGGTGTTATCTAACGTAGTGTTAGCTTGAATGGGTTAACCGTTAAATTAACGTTAAAATACAGGTAAAAATGTTAATTTAAGGATGGCAAAAGGTTATTAGTCGCCACCTAACTAGATATATGGTAGTATACTGCATTTTTGGGTGGATAAAACGAACCTAATCTGTTGTGTGTAAAAATGCTAATACTCAAAGTTAATACTTTATTAGGCAAGGGTACCTTACAGACACTATAAGTTCATTAAGTTGTCAAACTTGAGTAATGCAAGGCATTGAATGTTGTAAACCTAAAATTACACTTCTTTTTTTCAGGTGATGGACTATGTCCTGTTTGACTTCCACAAAGACTGACTTTCCCACTCATGGTTTGGTAAAATAAATGGACTCAGATGACTGCAACGCCCACATCAGAAAGCAGAAAACACACTACAAAAACGCTTATGGAGGACCTGCCATGCCACATTTGGGAAACATTCTGGTATATGCATAATATATAGCATGTGTATTTTCACTCCTACTTCATTTTCCCTCCTGCTCATCACATATCAGAAAAGGCTGCACCACACTAATAATCGGGAACAGGACTTTAAGGATTCTTGTGTACTTGTTTTGCTGAAGGTGTGATAAAACACTTGCTAAATTCAAATACATACATTTTACAGTCTAAATATTTTACCAGGTCAGTTACCAGGAAATATAACGTTACCCTCTGTACAATATAATGTCACCCAACACAAGAGCTTGGCCATAAATCCTAACTTGGTGAAACTTAAAATGTTAAATTTTTATTGAGACTGTCAGAGAGTTGTTGATTCACTTTTATGGCTCATGATACTTTATACTTCAGAACTTTTTATATACTTTATGGTTATATTTTCACAACCTCACCATCAACTCCTTCACAACATCACATGTACTCCTTTGCTGTGGGGAAAGTAAATTATTTCAGGGTCTAGAGAAAGTCTGTCAGCATGAAAGTTATTGATAGTGACAATTGTCACCTTATTGCATAGATACCTGCTTGGCAACCTGTTAATAGTAATTTAGTCAGTAGTGTTTTGGTACTTTTGTTGAACTCACTCAGAAATACAGTGGCATGGTAGTGGCACACCTATGATAGTACAATACTGTTTTACTTTACTATCTCCATGCAGCCCTTCTTACTGTGAGTCGAAAGTGCTTGCCACCCGTGTGCTTCCGTGGGTTTCCTCCTGCTGCTCTGGTTTCCTCCCACAGTCCAAAAACATGCAGGTTAGGTTAATTGGTGAATCTAAATTGCCCATAGATGTGAATGTGAGCATAAACTGTTGTTTTGTCTCTATGTGTCACCCCTGTGATTGACCGGTGACCTGTCCAGGGTGTCCCCTGCCTCTCACCCAATGTCAGCCAGGATTGGCTCCAGCCTCCCAGCGACCCTCAGGGATAAGCAGGTCTAGGTAATGGATGGATGTTAAAATTTACTATTGTTCTGTACCATCATAGTTGTTACCTAAAAGGCAAGGCCTTTTTTTTTTTACCACAGTACTTTTTATACTTTACGTTACTGAACTGAACTTAGACCTCACTTAACAGAGATTTTCAAGTTTTATCAAGTATTACATTTAACACTGAATCAAATGACTGCAAATTGGCTTAAGCCCAAATCACACTTTGCTTATCCACATTGCCAAGGGCATCCGTGTGATATTAACTTTGTCATCTGCTAAAGATTTAAAGACCAATGTCCTACTGTAGGTTTGCAACCCTATTGAATTAAAGTGTAGGAAAAGTATGTAACAAGTGTACTTTATAAGGGTTAAGGTACCATACCCACCAATTAAGAAATTGTAACATGTCATATAAGGGTATGGAAGGGAGTTCTGGCTTTATAAATATAGTCGCTCCTAGTTGGTCATTCATTCATTGGAGGATAGACATATTTATTTTTCCTTAAATAATTTTTTCCACCTTGTGTCTGTCTGTTAATGGTTTACATGTTTGTTAAGTGTTATGTAAATCTATCATAATTCTGTTTCCATTCTGTGGATTTGTTATAGTGGACAGTTTAAAAAGCTTGGAAGAGTGAACTTCACTTTATAATAATAAT